TAGACAAGCCGATTTCAAAGCTGAAGAACCTGAGAAGATTTGGGCTTTTTGCAGAGTATATGGGGTCCCCAAAGAGATGCAGCCATCAGCTTCTTGCAAAAGCCCAGCATGGTTATGCCACTACACCATGGTGCAAGAGGGAATGCAGAGATTGTTTAACTGGGGATTCCTGCTGGGTGTCAATGGAAGAAATTGCCCCAGTTCTCATTTTCAGTCTGTGCTTTGGCAGGTGAAAACGTGTGAAGGACGATGGGGGATGGAAAAGAGAAACCTAATTTCACACAAAGGTAAATGTATAGACAATTTAAGCTATAGTTTTTGGTGTAGTGCATCTGATTTAGTCCAGAGAACTTTACATGGCATCTTTCTTAGAGCTGAGTGATATCCTGGTGTTTGTGATTGTTATCACAACAAAACCCATTACATTTGTTACCACTGTGTGATAAGCTTATTGTCAGGTTGAAGCTCAATCCGAAGAAACAGGGTTTGTTTTGTGAGGAAGTGATTAACCCTGAGCACATTGCAACTGAGAGAGTTTCCTCTTCAAAGCTTGCAGTGGATCAACACCAATCAGCTACTTGGACTCTCACAAATGTGTGAAGGCTTTACATAGGTTGGCTAAGAAGAGTCATTTCAGCACACAACGGAACATGACTTAGTATTTTCAGAGCTGAAAACCGCTTCTTATGACTGCTTCTTCCTTGGTTTATACTTACACACCCTTTTTGAAAGGATTCAGATGCTGATGCTTATGGTTTGAAGATTTTGTTGGTCTCTAAGATGGGGAAGTCAAGCCATGAAGATTTAATGTCTGTTGAACTCAGTGGAAAGATTAAGGAGTTGGGGTTCACTGGAGTCTAAGGCTGAGGGACAACATTTGCTGTCACCTCAAAGCTGTGTGTCCTCCTTATTGTCTATCACTAATTTAATTTAATATAATTTAATCACTGTTGCACAAAGTAAACACTTAAAACAGGTTTTTGTTCAAAAACCATAAGAAAGTTAGAAGGTGTTTGAAAGAAACAACCAAAGAAAGATAGAAATCACTATAGAGGAAAAGAGGAAGCTGATGTGGACCAAAGGGAATGAAGGCAGAGGGTGTTGAAGTGAGCTCAGAAGTTCCTTGTAAAAGGTTTTCATTCTGAGGATTTGAATGTATGATTTTAGGAAAGGATTTGACTCCTGAGTATAGAAAAGAAGCCACAAAGAGGTCAAGTGTTTAGTAAGTCATGGCCACGGACTGCCCGTTATTCCTTTCCCAAAGGAACCCATTTGGACCTTTTGTTTTTCTGTGGGACATTGGCAAGCATACTTTGAACTCAACCTGGACGTAGCAAAGAAAGTTTGAAGAGCAGGCTGCTTCCTCAGCAAGTGCAGTGACTCAGAAGTGACAGCAGCAGAGCTGACTGGGGTGAGGAGCAGAGTTACTCAGCAGCATTGTGTGACTGGACTAAATCAGTCCCTGACACCATTTTCAGAGATCTGCTGGAGAAGGCTCTGATGGGACTGTCAAAGGGAAGAAGGGTCTGTGAAGATATATATATATATATATATATTATAGCTGATGGGAAGATGACAGCGCATCCCAGTTTGGGGGGATTTCTTTTTAAAGCTCTTCTGTGATGCCTACCCAATAATAGTAGAGAAATGAAGAGGCTGCTCCAGGCTTCCTTATCTGGACTTTGCTTTTACAGTTAGTAATTCTGCTTCTCCAAAAGAAACAAGTGTATTAACAGGGGCAAGCACAACAATAGGGAAAAATCCAGGAGCAGTTATGTTATATTGGCCTAAATTACATAGGTTAATGAATGTAATTGAGGTTTGCTGGCTTATTGTAGCTGAGGATCTGGCCAAAGTAAATACAGCATCTAACACAACTGCAGTGTACCTCAATTAGAACGACTTGTAATTGCTCTATATCTGGTAAATAACTAACATGGGCTCAATCATTCATTTCTATTTGAACTCCATCTGTAAGCAGCAATGGCAGATTTTCTGAATCAGATGCATAAAATGACTGTGAGAGCTTTTGTTCAGCCATGAAATGAGACATTGGAACATGGTGGATCACCCACATTTTGATAACAGGGAATAATGAAGTGGTAAAATGCTCTTAGTGCCCTGCTAATTGGTTATAATGGAAGTAAATTACTTTGGTTGAAAATTGCTTGATGGCCAGCATAGGCGAGGTTTCATTTGTCTGGGAGGTTATTGGGATGTTTGTTGTATTGTAGAGCCAAGGGGATTTTGGTCAAAAAGCTAAAAATATAAGGCTCATCAAAATCTTTTTAATGAAAACTTGATGCTGTAAGAAGGACATGGAGCTGTTGGAGCAAGTCCAGAGGAGGCCATGAGGATGATCAGAGGCTGGAGCACGTCCTGTATGGAGCCAGGCTGAGAACACTGGGGCTGTTCAGCCTGGAGAAAAGAAGCTACATGGAGACCTCAGAGCAGCTTCTGGTGTCTGAAGGGGGCTACAAGGATGCTGGAGAGGGACTCTTCATCAGGGACTGTAGTGACAGGACAAGGGGTAATGGGTTCAGACTGAAACAGGGGAAGTTCAGCTTGGAGATAAGGCAGAAGTTCTTTACTGTGAGGGTGCTGAGGCTCTGGCACAGGGTGCCCAGAGAAGCTGTGGCTGCCCCATCCCTGGCAGTGTTCAAGGCCAGGTTGGAGACAGGGGCTTGGAGCAAGCTGCTCTAGTGGAAGAGGTCCCTGCCCGTGGCAGGGGTTGGAGCTGGATGTGCTTTAAGGTCCTTTCCAACCCAAAGCAGTCTGGGATTCTGTGATTTTATGATCTATATTTTCTACATATCTCTATTAGTGGAAGGGGGGAAAGGAAAGAATAACTGATACGGAATGGAAATGAACAAGAATAACTGTAGTCATGTCATAGAAAATACCTATTTTAACTGTCTCAGTTTACTCACTGGCTGCTTCCTTCAGTACTTTCTATGACAGTGCTTTCGTTGATGGTTTCTACAGCTGGATATTCCACATTTCTTTTGTCTGCCTAGAGATAAATAGGGAATACTTTCTGGCTGCTGTATCCAGGCTAAAAGTGGGAATGCAATAGTTACTGAGTTGTTCATTGTATTTGGTCAGAATAATTGTCTGCTTAACTCACTGCTTGATATTTCTTATGCTTGAGTAACATTTTGAATTGAAGGATTAGAGCACTTGACTGCAGTAATCAAGTCGCTGTTAAAGGTTTTTACCCACCCGTCTTCTGTTCTTCTTCAACATAAATATTAAGCAAGATCACATTTGGAGGAGTCTGAAGTTGTGATATCTCTCAATTATCCTTAAGTATTCTTGGGTTTCTGGTATCATACTAGTCCCTAAGGTAGGAATATAATGGGAGAGGCCTTTCAGCAAGTTCTCAGGGTTAATTCCTGAAATTCAGGTCCTCTCTTTGGAGCTAGTTCCTTATGCCCCAGAGTATTGCTGTTAAGCAACACAGGCTCATTTCTTGAGCAAAATTCACATGTATGGGTGAGGCTTGTTGAATATATTTGGGTTCTGTATAAGCATGAAGCAATGTAAATCAAACTGAGATGTAAATACTTTTCATCACTGCTGCAATCTTGTTGCTTCAGTACAGAAGCAGTAAAACACAATTTAGGGGAAGGTAGAAACTGAATAATAAGATGAAATATTTACCAGTGCAAAGGCCTGATCTTGCTCTCTTTGTAATGATGTAAATTACTAAAGCCTGATGCCGGTATCTGCTAGATGTTTGAGGCCTGGAAATAAATTGTTTTGCATCTGTGAAGTCAGAGGAAATATATTTGGCATAAACTGTTTCATAAAAGCTTAATAGAGATCACTGCCTGACAGCCTGGTTTATCCTGCCTGTGGTAAAGACTGTTCCAGTGGTTTTGGACTGAGCTTTATCATCTTTCTTGGCTGAAGTCTGCAACATTTATACATGTGAATCCTTTATGTGAATACTTTTATTGACTCATCCATGTGAATATTTTCAACGTGGAGCCTTGATCAGTGTAAATTCTTCAGAGAAGTGATTGTAATACCTAATTTTTGTCTCTATAATAACAGAAATTATAATTTAAACACATATCAAAAAGATATTTGTGAAAATGTAAGTGGCAAATACTCTTTCTAAAGCCTGTTTTGAGAAAGGACATGTCACTCACTAACCATTAAGAAACCACAATTTGTTGATGTTTTTTACATAGGATCAAGTTGAAGTCTAGTTGTGATCAAGGACATTTCCACTGAGGTTACAGTCATAGCAACTGATTTCAGGCCATGTCAGTCATTGGTCCCATTTTTTACATGATGGGTGTACTTAAAGGAGTAGATTTTTGCCTTTCAGTGGATGCATGGGAGCACCCCAATGCATTCTGCCATTGGCCAAAACTCTTGGGCTAAATCTTCCATGTTAATTAAATATATCTGGATGAAGTTATAAAGTTAGATTAGTACTTTCCACTGCTAAATTTCACCAACATTGTAATTGGAATATTTGGTTGCCTGACATCTGCTGCTACAACATCCATCTTACTGAAATCTTTCCTAACACATGGAAAAACTACTGATGCAGGTAAGGACATGGATTGATTTTCTCGAACCACTGGAGGATAGATGCATCAAGCCTTGTAATTCATATTTTCTAGCCATGCTGTATAAAGGGCTTCAAAAGCACCTTTCTGTGCCAGGCTGGAGTTCACTTTGCATGCCTTGCTTTATTAAACGGGGGAAGCACACCAGCGCTAGAAATGCCTGGCTGATAAGCTGATGCACTTTTTATCTCCTCTGGAGCCTGACTGACATCTTTGAACACTGTTGTATCTAAACAGCTTGAATATGTGACCTCATTCCTTAAATACCACCACTTGAACAGCTCTTGTTGCTAAAATAAAAGCAGCATTGCTTCTCTGTTGTGAAAACTCCTCCAGACCCTCTGACAAGCACAAACCAAACCACACCTTCTTTTACTGTGATAAAAAATGACGACTTATTTGTACCAATTACAGTGTACCTGTAGCAGCAATTACAGTGGAGGCATCGCTTGTGGCTTTCATCATATTCACTTCGTGTCAAAGAAAGCTCTGGAATACGACTAGGAAACAGAACTTGAGGACAATGATACCAGAAAGGTAAAATGGCTGAATAATTTTGTTTTCTTATACTGACAAGTAGTTTGTTAACTGCACCCTACACTGACGGAAGATTGGAGTTGAGCCAAACTCTCCAGTAAGATAAAAAGAGGCCAGGATCAGCTTTCTCATTTTATGCTGTCTTTTATTGCTCAGAAATAAGCCTTCTGCAATGCAGGCCTGCGTCAGTGCTTTGTTAAGTACAGCCAGCTTTTAAAACCACAGGCTATACCCTCCGTTCAAATACAACCGTGTTTCTCTGGAAACAGTGTTTGTAAGTTTTTTCCCAAGAGGTGATAGTTGGAAAAGCTGAACTTTGACTGGGAAGCTGAAGTATGGAGTCCTTAAAAAGAAGCTTAGATTTTTTTATCTATGAAAATCAATTTTTATGAGAGGACTGATGTGCAAATTCAGTGCAAAGTAAATAAAAAAGGGAAAAATATTCCTATTTTAGTGAGCATATTTATTGGCAATTGTTTGAACAGTTTTGTCAGTTTGAATTTGGTGCTTAAAATAGTATTTTGAAATGAACTGTGACTACATATTTGCATACAATTGTCTTGCAGCTGCATTTATGACCATAGGTGCAAACTCTACTACTTGTTACGTTCTGTTCCTATTGGCAGTATTGAGGCAAGTGCCGTAAAGGCCAAAGGGCTCACAGTGCAGAAAGGATATTCAGGTTACTGAATCTGCATCTTTAACAGAATCTAGACCTCTCCCCCCGAAAAGCTGGCTATAAACTGTTTTAAATTGTGTTTTATTTTCATAGTATAACCTAATTTTCTTAAAGTAAAACTTTTTTTAATAGAAATCCTGCTCTTAGGTCCAGTCCGGCAAATACTTTGCCACAAAGCATAGTTTAGGGTACTAGATAGGGCAGGTTGTGACTACAAATCGGAACACACTTATACAAGCATTGCAGAATCAAAACCTGTTGGTATAGAAGCAAATGAGAGTGCTTATGGTTTTATTCATGGATGTGAGGACCAAAAGAATCGGAATTTGGTGTCCTTAAATTGCATTATTGGCTTATTGCAACTTTTACTGGATTGAAATAAAGGTGGATTGATATATATTTAAGAGAGCTCCCTATTTTTAATACTTTTATCCAGTAAGATGAATGGCCATCAGGATCACTTATTTCTTAAAGCTCAGTATTATTTTGTTAAGGGAAGAATGTGACCAAGAGTAACAGCTTCAATTTTTGTTTTAATGTATAACAACCAGATATAGCATTTACATAAAAATAAAGGATTTCAGTGTAACTTTGGACACCAAATCTGCATTTTGGAGAATGAAGGGCAAAAAATCTTGAGTACAATCTCCGTGTAACTTTGATGATCACAGTATGTTGGACCTTTCTGCGGGAGAATGATTGTAGAGCAGTCAAGTTGTTGATGAGGTGGGCACATCTGTATAACTGCTGGTAATGGGAAGACTCAGATGGGCCTGTCTGGCACTCAGAAAGGTGAGGGAATTGCTGCCTTGGAGGAAGCACCCTGGTTGAGATTCCACCAGGCTTTAAAGGTCAAGAGGAAGCACCTTGAGGCCAATATTGAATGTGGCTGGCAACCAGGGTAACCAAGCTACGAAGGGAGTTATGTGCTTACTCTGTCTGCTGCCAACAAAACTCCTGCCAACATCTTTTTGTAGTAGATGAAGTCTATTAATTCTGCATGCATACACATCAGCAGAAAGGGTCTAACATTACGCTGGTCTAAATGGAACAAAGCACAGACATGAAGAAGGACAGTTGCATCCAGCAGAGGCAAGGAAGTGTACTGGCAATATTCCCAAAGAGAAAGGAGAAGCATTTCACTCCCATGAAGGAACACTGGCTTGGTGCTGGACCAGAGACTCCTGGGGTTGAGAAAGAGCAGTGAGGGATGCTGTGAGAGAAATATACAGTGTCCAGATAACACAGATATTTTCTCTGTTCATCCTGCATTACATTTCCAGACTCTTAACAGCAGAGACATAGAGGAGTCAGGTGCACTGACAACACACAGAAGTGGCAGATGGAATAGTGGTAATGATTTTTAATTACATCTTTGTGATAGTTGGCATCTGAATGAAATTTAAGCTTCCTGATGATTTTATTAGATCCGTAAGTGAAAAAAATCTACAGACTGAAGAACTGAACACAGTGCTCTGAGAAGATCCATAATAAGTGATTTAATGAAGTAGTTAACTCCACTGTAGAACACAAACTGGTTTTAATTGGGAGCACTGGATGGCTTAATCTTTCTATCAGATGTTCAGAGAAAATCAAATACCCTGTTGTATAAAAAGCAGCTGGGACACGGGGAGAATGGCTTTTATATCAGTGCTCTGTGAGAGGTCAATGACAATTTTAATTGATGCTATTTCAGTTCTTGTGGTATGGTGGAAACTAGAATAGAAATATCTGAACTGCTTGTTCTTAGAAATATGTGGACTTTATTCAGGGGAATCTTCAGCTTAGAATCAAGCACAAAGATTAGATGAAATCTGCAGATAGATACAAGAAAATAGGTACAGTTAAACATCATTTTATGGATACATTCATTCATTTCTGAAAAATAGAGGAAGTGGCCACATTCACTCATTTTCAGACACAGTTGACACTGAAGCCAGGTATTATTAAACCTGTTATACAGCTCTGAAAGAGAGATTCTAAACAACAATTGCTTTAAAGATTTATTTTCTTGATCTTTTAGACTTTGCAGAGCCCTTTATATGGCTTGTTCTTTGTCAGCCTGAGATCACAGCGTGGTCCTATTAAATCCGTCTCTTGATGTCTTTGGTGTCAGTGTTGCATAGCATCCCAAATAGGAACTGTATTACTAAAGTAGTGGGAATATGGGTAAAGTTTGAACAATAGCAGTATTGGTTCTGCTTTTTTCACATATACAGAGGAAGATTGTTGTAGGGCATTGGAGACAATAACAGGAAACAGCATGTAACTGATTTTGGAGGTAGAGTATCTCTAAAGTTTATCTTTGAAGAGGCCTGCTGTCATTTTCCGTCTTTGCTGTGGGCTAAAAGCTTGTAGTAGGGTATTGGAAAGTGGGTTTTAGCTGGTGGTATATGGGTATGTGAAGAGTACATGATCTTTTGACCTCTCTTTTGTACTAAACACTGGGGAGGCAGACTCTGGGAGAACCCAGGACAGGAGTCAGATGGTCCCATCCGCTCCAATGCTTCTGTGATGTATGGTGATTTTGGTATGATTTCAGCTTGGAGTGTTATTCTGCACAGAGGTATGTCCTGATGCCATGCTTTTCATATAGCCCACGTTTCATGTAGTTAGTTTTGAGCCTTATGAGCCTAACTGCAGCAAACCAGATTCTCAGCCAACACTAATTCCCAACAGTGTGTTGATTTCAATGAAGCAGCCTGAATTTTATACAAGCTGAGGATCTAATCCAGTAACTCTTTGCATAAGAAGGTTGGATCTGTTTTTAGTGACAAATCTCTTAAATACATAACATGAACTCTCTAGAGCTCATTTTTACCCGGGTTGGCAACAGTTAAGGATCATGCCACTTATCCCAGAAGCAAACATAGATCTGCGTGATTCCACACATTTCTGGGGTTATCTTTTGAAAACATAGTCTACCAATGTCATTAATATGTCCAGCTGTGGCAGGGTGCTGTGGTCTTCTTGGGAGTGAGGTTGTGCTCCTTACACTGCCGAGCTGTGTAGAAGAAAAACTCCCTCTGGAGAAACAAGGGGGAGATGACTTCCACAGGGCTGCTGCATCCCCAGAAAGTGGTCCACAATCCAGCCCTCAAAATGATGCGTCAGGACTTCAGATCGATTCTCGTGGGACTTCAAACCCTCACGAGCACTGAGGATTATAATAATATTGGTAGTTTTATGTTAGGACAACACCCACCTTTTTAAGTGTCTTTTTTCCCCACCTAGCTTTCCCATCACATTGCTTTCCCAAACTCTTGTTGGTTCGGCTAACTTGTGTTTCTCACTTCATCCCCCAGTCTCTGGTTTGAAGTGGCTGTACTGAAGTCATACTTCCTTCAGTTGAAGAAGGGATGAGTTAAATAGCTGCATCTCTTGAACTGCTCACTTCTAAGTTTGAATAACGTTCTATTTTCCCCCAGCTTTATTGTGCTTTCTAGGTTTTAGGTGTAATCCTCCCAAAACACTTTAATCACATTAAAAGTTTAATCATTGTAACAAGTTTGCTTATTATTACACATTCAAATGCCTTTTCAGCTTTTCTTTGTGGGTGGGTTTGGCTTTTTCTTGCTTAATAGTCATTTGAGGGTAAATTCTTAGACTACAAGACATTTAATCTGAGTGGTATTCATAAATGCAGAGACTCACATTTGTTATTATTCATTAAATGAATGGATGGTTGTTTCAGAACATTATCTAACGTAGGGTAACACCTTCCTATTTTAATTATTTTTACAACTGAATAAGCAGAACGGAAGGTCAGGCTGGGAAGTCGGTCCTCTTCATAGTAAAAGCCCTGCAACAACTGCCTCTTGAGCTCTCCTGCACCAGACTTTAGTTCTTTAGCATTCACACACCCATAAACAACTGCATTTTACTGTAGTGACACTTGCATGCACATGCCTCAGAGAAAACCTGGTCCTTAGCAATGAGTTTTGAATGAGAAGGGAGAGTAGAGAATAGTACAGGCTTAAATGTGCATTTAAAATAACAGAACTGAGTCAAGTGCTAACTACATTCAGTGCAGAAAAGTAAACTGAAATCACAATTTTTGTTGGTTTTCTGCCTCATCTGGTTTTCTGCTTGTAAGGAGCATTTTACTCCCTTTCCTTTCTTCTGTCTTCATTTCACGTAACAGAACTGTATCAAAGTATTAATACATTCCATGCAGCAAGGTAACCTGAAATTACACTTCAGTTCTCTGCCTCATCTATTTTTGTGCTAGAAAAGGGGATTTCTTGCCCTTTCCTTTTTGTCTTCATCTTTTACAATTTCTCTGTGTTGGGCTCATGATTCATTTCACTGTTTTTCTCCTAACCCTCCCATGCCTGGCTCGAAAACTTTGGGATGCAGATTCCATTTTGTTCTGCCTATTTGCTTTCTCCTCCAGCTGCTGCTGCCTGACACTGCTTGGCTTGCTCCCCCATCCAGGCTGCAAAGCACCTTGAGTTTGCTCAACTGTCATCACAGGTTCTGTGCATGAATTGCCACCTTTTTCCTTTGTCACTTGAATCTCTCCCCCTCACAACCGTCACTGAGAAGCACCCAAACTCCTGGCTTCAGTGTTGGTTGCTCTTCCTGAGCAAGTGACTTCATTCAGACACATGAGCAGGACCAGGCAGCCGTTCTTCATGCTTTCTGTATTAAATGGCCATTATTTTTGGAAGAGCATCACAGAGCTCGTGGCAGTGTCAGAGTTTCTGTGCAACAGCACTAAGAACACCAATACCCAACTTTCTCTCTTGCAATAATCTCGTGGGTTCCTTATCCAAGTATTGCCAAACCCACCTATCTTGTCAAATCCCATGTGATGTTGCCCCAGGTGAAAGGGCTACAAACATTGCATACACGTATCCCACACATCTGCGTGTTGCAAATACTCAGAAGGGGTTTTAAAACAGATCAATCATGTGCTGACATGAAGGAGAATAAGTAGAAATTAAATTGTTCTGTATGTTGTGCCATTAACTTCATTGGCATAATGATTCTTCTGAACTTCTGCAGTGTGGGTTACCAGCACCTGGTTCAGCAGCGCTTCCAGCTGATGTGTTTGTCCTGTCAGCAGAGTTGTCAGAGAAATCTCATGGAAGAAGAAAGAAAAGACAAGCCCATCTTGGCAGGAGGTATTTATAGTAGCTATGTACCATAGGGGCTGTGATCAGGATTGTAGGTTCATTGTGTTACACTCTGTAGATAGGAGGTGATGCAGTCTTTGCCTTAGAAGCTTGCAACTGAGGAGATCAGAAGTGTATGCTACAATATAATATATAGTGCCTGAAGTGTTCACGAACTGTGTAGAAAAGGCCTTCAGTGACATGGGTTTGTGGTGGCCTTGGCAGTGCTGGGGTGATGGTTGGACTTGATCTTAATGGTCTTTTCCAACCTGGTTGATTCTATGATTCTGTGTTCTATCTATATTATAATCTGCTTATGTAGCTAAATTTAGCAGCATGGGATGATGTTCTTTGCTCACTGAAGATCTTTTCTTACTCTTTTTTCCCCCAATCCATATGTATAATTACTTGCCTACTTCTAGATCCAGCTTTCAAATCCAAGGAAATCCCAAACATCTGCAAGAGAAATCAACTCGCCAATAGTGGTAGGTAGCAAAGTGACTGCTCTTTTTCCACTGACCTCTTTGGTTTGTTGTTACCTCCTTTTTCCAAAACACCCCCACGCAGCATGTCTTTCATCCACCTGCTGCATTGTGTTTTATGAACTGTGTGTAGGAGGGATCAGCTTCTTGACATGCCAGTGCATTGCGTAAGGCACTGAGCCTCAGTACTCAGCTGTAAGCCTGAGCACTCCATAGGGCAAACATGAACCTAACTAAAGCCAAACAGCCAGTTCGGCCAGAGACAGTATATTGTGCTTTTTTGGTTCACATTTTGCATATGCATTTATACATACATATATATACATGCCCCACACAACTATAAATGCATAAATACTTAGGCTGAAGGAATATCCATACTTAGAACTGAAGTTTCCAAGTGGAGAGGAAGACAAAATCCCTAATATAGTGTGGTTTAAAATGACATATTGGTAGGAATGCAATAAAAATCTAAATGCTGCCATAAAATGGTCTAAAATGGAACCAATGTATCATATACCATATATTTTTATGGAGGCACCTGATTTCATTGTTGAAGCAGTTCAAATAGCACTTGCTATTTCTGAAGAATATGGGAAATAATATCCTTTACTGGTTTTAGGAACAATATGTTTATCTTTTTTTGGTTGCAGTTAGATGGATGCTATGTGAAGAAGTAAGAATTAACCAGGCTGCTTTAGTCTGGGAGAACTCAAGTTAATAGTTTTAGACTGTGCCAGTTGGCAGTGCTGATCTTTCTGTTCTGTAGGTCAGCAGCTGGAGGTCTAGTCCATTTTAGCATCCGTTTTTGTCTGCTCCCAGCTGTCTTTCCTCTTATCCCACAGTGGGATACATAAATTACTTTTACAAGTTCAGCATCCTGGGGCAGCCACAGAAATGGATTTGGAGGGGGGAAGTGCCTCAGATCTGTGCAGAGAGGCTGACTCTACAGAGGGAAAGCCAGGAGAGAAGTTTTGATGAAGTATTATGCTTAGTTAATATAAAGTCCATATACATCTTGGTGTCTCAGAACCTTTCTTCTTGTTATATTCTTGAAGAAAAATAAAGGATACATTGCTTCGAAGACGAAGTTCAGAACCACTATTGAATACCTGTACAACTTTAAGCTATGAGAAAGGCTAAACCAGGTCAGATGAGCAGCAACAGGATGACAGTGATGATCTGGCGAGGGGATGTGTCTGAAAGTGGGCTGAATTTGAGGATTCCTCTGAGACAAGAGGAGAAGGTAAGCATGGCAGTTGCTTAAGTGCTGAAAAGAGACCAAGTGAGTGACCAGAATTATATCTTACCATCACATCCATGCCAAAGTACAAAGAAATTACCTGTGTACAGTCTGTGATCACACGCTATTGAAGTGAAATAGAGGAATTCCTAGACTTACTAATAGGAGCAAGAAGGCTGTCTTCTCCCCATCAAAATAATTTATTTAGAATAGCAATCAATAGGCCTGTGATTTTGAGTTCATTCTTTATTAGAATACTTACAAAACAGTTTTACACTGTAATTGTAAATGTATGAAATGCGCTGTGCTGAAAGAAGAAATAAATTGACATGAATTTAACAGCAGCCTCTAGGTATTCACATATTTGTATGCCTTATTAACTTGTTCCTCCTCTAGATTATAGTCTAGGTAAAAGGAATTACTACTAGTGTGCCAGAAAGCTGCTTGTCATCACTCAGTGAGGCTGGCTTTACAGCAGACTACACAGTTGAAGCATTATATGATTTTATTCTTTTAGCAGCAGTCATTTGAAACTGATTTGCCAGGTGACATTTGGGGAAAAAAGAGAAGTTTTAAGGAAGTAATTATTCTCATTGAAAATCTGAGTGAACAAGAATTAGGTAAAAATAAAGATTGCATGTAAAGAGAGATGGAGAATGAGGTCAGTTTCTGAGGGCAGACACTGCCTGCTATCTTAGTTCATCTGTATTGGTTTCAGGAAGGTTGTAATGTGCTCCATCAGAGGGATCTGTTCAACATTAAACAGCACAATGCAAAACATACAGGAACTCTGTTGAATCAATTTAGTGGGGTAAATCTTCAACACTGATAGATACAAATTGTGATTTTATTTTCTAAAGCTTGAAGTGGGTAAGATGTGGATAAGAAACAACACAGAGCTCGCTACCTCTGAAACCACACTGATTTTATGTCTTTCAGTTGACCCAGGCATTTCTGCCCAGGGTATGGTCAGGTTATAGTTATTTCCAGGCTCATACATTAAAACTTGCACTGTTCAGCAACCTGATTCAACCTGATGGAATAAAACCAGTTAATCTTAGCCAATGGCCTGTGCTGAAGTAATAATTTAAGCAGCTGTTACGTGGTATTCAAGAAGTCAGATTTTACTGAAATATGTTAGTTTTTTACAAGTTATAATGAGAACAGTAAAAACTGTATTTTCACTGAAAAAAGTGCACTTGAAAATTGCTTAGAATAAGTGATACCTACCAAATATCTTGGCCTAGAAAGTCTGAAGAACTTCAGTTTTCTTTGGGGAATAAAGAAGCCCTATGCAACCTCTTTTTGTTTCTGCTCCTTTTCACAGGAGACATCAGAGAGAATTCAGCCTACAAGATTTATCTCCCCTTTTTCCATCCTTGCCAAAACTGTGGCTGCACCTACATAGTCTTCACCACTGGCATGACTCACCTAAAATACATCCCTGTCTACAGCAGTCATAGACTAGTCCCAGAACCAGTAAAACTAGCAAAATCAGGTTTCCTACAGCTCCAGGTCTTACATTGTTTGCATCTATCCTGGCATAGCTTCAGTTGTTCTCATATCTCTCTTATCCTTCTTTTTGCTTTTGCCATCTGGGTAAAATACAGACACATCTGTAAAAACTACATACAAGCTGATGGCTCCCAAATGGAAGGGGTAAAACCAAGTTCTCCACAGGAGAGCTCCTCAGCTCTCTGTAATTGAGCCAGCTCCTGATTGTTACTAAACTATCAGGAATTTAATATCCTTGAGTCTTCTGCCACTGCCATAGTTAACTGAAATCATCCCAAGTGTTCTAAGCCTGGAGTGGTTTATGTGGGAAAAGGTGAGGGAGATAAAGGACTTCAGTTTATGATCGGCTTGATGTGATACTGAGAAAGCAGGGTAGTGATGTTGAAGATCTTTTTAGGTGTCCTATCTTTGTCTGACCCAGATAAGAGGAAGAGCTCCCTAAATGCTTGTAAGAAAGAAGCCACATTCACAGGCTTGGTGGTGTTTTCCAATGCTGCCACACCTTCTGCTTTGGAAGTCAAAAATGCAACCCCCAAGCACCACCGTAACTCCAGCTGCTGTAGTCTGATAAAAGCAGTTACAAGGGACATGTCATTAAGCAGTGAGCAAAGTTCTAGAAGACGGTGGGCTGGTACCTTTCAAACGTGAGCCATTTAAAACCAGTACTGCTGCTTCCAGTGCAAGCTTTGCCTGTACGTTTAAGTTTCATAGTCCCAGTAGCAATGCCATCAACCTTTGCTATAGTAATGCTGAAATTGTTGCTGCCATCAATCTGTTTACTCCTCAGACCTATTTAGCAGCCAGGGGAATAACCCTGGATGTTGGTTACCAGGCAGTTTTCTTCCTAAATGGGTAAATATCAGTGCTGAAAAGAGCAAAAACTGATTTCCAATTTAAATTATACACACTTTTTCTTTAAAAAAGCAAACCAATTTAAATTCTAAACGATTGTAACTTGTATGAATTCCAAAGTTTTAAAAAAGCTCTTAAAATAATGTAGATACAATACCATGATTTCAGATGGTTCATTCTTGCTGTTGGAGTTGTAAACTCTAGACACTGTGCCAGCAGCATCACTAGTTCAACATCTGGGATCAGAATGGTGGAGCTGCCAGAGAGGCTCTTGCCACCTGCATCTCCCCTGGCATATGCTTCCCTCAGTCAGTTTGTTCAGCTAATTCAGCTCAATCACTTGTACATTCCAAGTTAAGAAATCAGAGATTTGAGCATCCCTGATTTAGAGAGGTTGGATATTCTGAGCCTGGAACATACCATCCACATTATCTTCCTGCTCTAAAGCTACACCTGTAACTTGTAAAACTGTTCTGTCCATGCTCTAATTTGTGATGTGATGAGTAGACCCCTCCTGTCCTCGATCTCCAGGAACTGAACATCACAGATGTATGAGTCCAAATGACCCAAAAGGTACTGAGAGTCAATGGGCTTTTTGCTCTCCATTGAACCCCCAGGCACACAGCGAACAAACACTGCTCATTCATTACTTTTCATTACAGTGTGTGGGATGTTCACATAAAAATGAGGAAAACCATAATAAAGCCATTAGAAAGAATCATTAAGTTTAAAGGCCGAAAAGTTTGGATTCAGACATGTCCATGAGTATTGATTTAGGGATGCCAAGATCTAAACTTAACATTGATTTTAACCATTCATGTTTAAATGAAAAGTGGGAGGGGAGAACATGAACTGGAAAAAGTAGTTGTGAAGTCTGCAGCAGGGAATAACAGAGAATGGATTTTTTGTGTCTAGGTCCAATGAAGCTGGTTCTTATGTTCCTCAGGAGTGTAAAGTACTATGGCCAAACTGGTAAGTGAATAATTCCATTGTATTTCCTAAAAGTAGGAGGGCTGAAGCAGATTTACTGTTTTACTCAACAGGAAATGGTCAACCTGAAGTAGGCAATTACCTGTGTTCTGGGTAATCTGCAAAATCCGAATTAGAAAAACCAGAATCTTCACCATTCATCCTAATGCCTTAGAAACTTCAGGAATGCTCACAGAGAGTCTCAGAACACTTCACATTCTTGTAGGTTTAAAATGTCTTCAGTGCCCTGGTGAGTTTAGCAAGTGGCATTAACAGTTGTTTAGTGTACATCATTCTGCCACATTCCCATGGTCTTGTTTTCCTAATACACTATTATTAACGTGTGAATGGACACATTTGATTGAATTTTGTTATTAATAGATTGCATCGTTGTAATAACGGAAGGCAAACCTCTAGGCTTTATTTTCACTTAAGGACTTTCCTGATTGACTGCGTGGTCCCTCAGAGGGTCCAACCCTCATCTCCCTGGCTGGGCAGAGAGGAAAAGACTTCAAGGAAGATATTTATCTTAAATCCACACTATCTGCTTGTTGGAACTTGTCTGTCCTGCAAGTCAAATGGCTTTCACTGGGGTTATTATTTAGGTAGAAGGTTATCCAGGAACACGGAAATGCTACAGGAAATGGCTTCCTGGCTTGTATCAGTAATAGCATAGCCAGCAGGACTAGGGAAGTGATAGTCCCCTGCACTGGGCACTGGTGAGGCCGCACCTCGAATCCTGTGTTCACCTCTGGGCCCCTCACTACAAGAGAGACATTGAGGGGCTGGAGCGGGGACAGAGAAGGGAAAGGAGCTGGTGCAGGGCCTGGAGCACAGGGGTGATGGGGAAGGGCTGAGGGACCTGGGGGGTTCAGTCTGGAGAAAAGAAGGCTCAGGGGGGACCTGATGGCTGCCTCCAACTGCCTGACAGGAGGATGGAGCCAGGAGGGGCTGGGCTCTGCTCCCAAGGAACAAGGGATGGGACAAGAGGAACCGGCCTCAAGCTGCACCAGGGCAGGTTACATGGAGCTGAGGAACAATTCCTGCCCCAGAGGGTGCTCAGGCATTGGAACAGGCTGCCCAGGGCAGGGCTGCAGGCACCGGCCCTGCAAGTGTTCACACCCCTTGGAGACGAGGCCTCAGTGCCATGGGCTAGTGGTGGCCTTGGCAGTGCTGGGGTAAGGGTTGGACTGGGTGAGCTTAAAGGGCTCTTCCAACCTGGTTGATTCTGTGATCCTGGCTTGTATCAGAAATGTTTGAGGTTTTTGCAGAGGTGTCACCTCCCTACAGTGTCATCCTCGGGTGTGGAAGGACCCCACTGATTCAGGTCCTACATGTCAGCAAGACAAAACTAGTGTCTTAACTATGTATTGTCTTTTAAGACCTAATGGTTCTTTCCAAGGAAAAGAGGAGTGAGACCCAAATCCACTTAATAGTGAATTCCTGTGGAGTTTTAGTGAGGTGAATTTCTCATGTCACAGCCTCATTTGCTGGAGAGCATTGTCATTGCTTTGATTCACTTCAAATGCTGATGTATTTTAAGATCAAGCAAATATATTGTTGTGTTCGCTGTTGTACCATCATTTTTAATGTTATACCTCAGCTTTGGTTCCTCTGAATGAAAGCTTGAACAGACCAAGTTATGGCCTAGGAGGAAAATACCCGGGTGTAGGAATTCAAAGCTATGGCTAATGGCAACTTTTCACTCATGACAGCTGATATAATTTAGGACTGCCCTTAAACCACTCTCATTCATGCAGATAGACTGGCTGAAGGAAGTTTTGTGACAGGTCTGAATCAGAATACTGCCTATGGACAAGGTCACTAGGACACTGGCTGTAGAAATTGACTGCTTTGGCTTAGCAAGATGATTTTGAGAGCATAAAAAAAGTGGAAAAATTGGCTTCATCTAAGTCAGCCTATGGGATGGTAGAAACAATTCCAGAATAGGAGGTGCCAGGAACACTAAAGCACACAAAAGATTTCAAAGCCACTATCAAGAAAACATTAATGATTGTGGAGGATGAGGCTAAAAGGCAGCCCCAGAGAAGGCTCCGATAGAGCTGAACCCAACTCAGTTACTATTGGGAGATGGTAATCCCTCTGTATTATTGCTTTACCACTTGTTCCCTCCATATGCTGCATTTGTATTAATGAACTAAGCAGTGATTTTGTCACAATGTCCTTATGATCTCACAAAGATCTTGAAAATAGCTGCAGCAGATGTTCGGTTGTCTTCACTTGTGATGCCCAAGGTGCTGCAGCACGGGCATAATCTGGAAGCTAAGGAATCCCAGAGTTTTATCCCTCTAGAGATAAAGACACAGTGCCTGAAACCTGAAGAACTGTACTTCAAGCTTAAAAGGAGGGACAGAAACCCAGCCCCTTGTGACTTTAACTCCATATTTTTAACTGCTATTTGAGCCCAAATGTGTTTTTTCTGTTTGGTCCTGCTGTGAAGTGATAATACTGCATTTGTCCCATCACCATTATTTTCCTAGTCCATGACATGCTGCGATATCATGTAACATCAGGTCACAGTGGACAGAAAAACTCCAGTCAGTCCATGGCCATCTTTAGCACTGCTCAGGAAGTTTGGAAACACACTGATTGATGTTTCTCCTTCACGTGCTGAATCCTTTTCTTCCCGAGTTTGCCATATGAAAACACCTCATGGAAACCAAGTAAATGAACTTGCTGCATACCTGCCGAGTACTCCTGCTTCTTGACAATCTTCATATAAGAATGGTAAAGGGCTAGAAGAAAGGCTGCTTTTGCAGTGTAGTTTCAGTACTGGAGAGCTGTATTTTCCCCTCACTTGTTAGTTTGCCTTGCCCAGGCTATCTGGAACTCCCTTCCTGTTTTCCTCCAAGACCTTTAGTCACTTCCGTTCCCTAAATAAAACCCCCTTTCATTTGTCCTTAACTGATGATGGATTCACTTTCAAGCTTTCTGATAAAATCAGCTGAATTATATCTAGATTTTTCCTTACTTGTAGGTGACCAAACCCCACTGCAGTTAGAGCTGTTAAAATCAGTTTCAGCACTGCGTCTGTACTCGGAACTTTACAAGTTTTTCAAAGGACCTTGTTGCCTTAGGGCATATTTTAATGGAATGTTAAAATTCCATTTTCTTGTTTAACCAGGAAACATGGAAAATAGATTGGCTGGGGAAATTATGAAGACTTTATTCAATCAAAATGTTTTTCTTTGCTTTACAAAGAGGGCAGATTCACAATACAAAAATAAAACTCCATTTACTTTCCCAGTATGTAGTAAATGAGTACACAGAAAAGCTGATTTTCCATTTTATGAAGTATTTGAAGCCCAGACATCCACTGTGCATGGGGTAGGATGAATGCCACTGCAGACTACAGAACGCTATTCATCAATGAGGTCATTAAATGTGCCCTGTTGAGTTTGTTTTCCTCAGATAAAAGCCATCACCAGAATGTTACTCCTTTCTTAATGCAATTTAATATAGTAAGCTTCTTCAAAGAGTAAAACTGTTCTGAGAATTCACATTACCCAGAACTGAGCTCCCTCCAAAGTGACTGCCTGGTAGGAAAAGAGAGGAGGTACTGGGGAGGTTTCCTTTGCATGCATTTACACTGAGGCAGCTGCTGTAGATGCATCATCTGGGAAGTAAAACAAAGACTGAAGGTATCAGTTTGTATCTTCAGTCATGAATCAAATTAGTTCTTGGCTCAGTGAAACACAAGTGCTGGTGCTGGAGTTCCAGCAAAGATCCTTCACATCCTTCACATCAGGACCCACCATCTCAATCAGAGTAAGCATGTTGCCTTTAGTATATTTATAAAAATACTTCTCACATTCCTTCTCGTCCTTCCTGATGGAGATTGGGAATATTGATATCTTTGCACATTCCAGAAAAAATCTCATTTGGAACCTCTTGTGCCCAGACTGAGGCTGAATCGGGTGCAGGGAGAGGCTGCTTGGAGTAACAAGGGAGGGGAGACAATGGAGGTTCTCTAGCTTTAGCTTAAGACAGCAAGGGCTGGACAAAGGGTATTCTTTTAAGCAGGTTAGAAAGCTCAGAGAAAAGAACAAAATTAAAGGGAAAAATTATTAAGGGATGTATATTGGCCTTGGGCAAATTAAAACTGGATGTTAGGAGGAGGTCTCTAGTTATTTAGGTATTTTTAGAACAATGCAAATAGCAGGAACAACTCAAATATTTAGACCAGGCTGCTCCAACCACTGTTGTGTCCAGCCTGGCCTTGAGCACTGCCAGGGATGGGGCAGCCACAGCTTCTCTGGGCACCCTGTGCCAGCGCCTCAGCACCCTCACAGGGAAGAGCTTCTGCCTAAGAGCTCAGCTCAGTCTCCCCTGTTCTGGCAGGTTCAAGCCATTCCCCTTGGCCTGTCCCTACAGGCCCTTGTCCCAAGCCCCTCTCCAGGTTTTCTGCAGCCCTTTTAGGCACTGGAGCTGCTCTAAGGTCTCCCCTTCAGGAGTCTTCTCTTCTCCAGGCTGCCCCAGCCCAGCTCTCTCAGCCTGGCTCCAGAGCAGAGCTGCTCCAGCTCTCTTGTATGATGTGGGCTCAGACAGTTCATGCAAAGAATATATGGTCATGTTTTCCTGAAGCAAAAGCAGACTTAATGCTGGGAGCCCTTTGAATCCCTGATTCGTGTGTTGCCATCCTGTTTTTCAGAATGTGACTGAATGCTGGAGATCCAACCCCAGTTCCATGCCAGAGGCTCTTCCCTGTGCAGAAGAAACACAGCTGCCCCCTCACTGTGTTCAGATACACTGAAGAGAGCCCACTTGGGAACAGCTCCCAACGCTTTAACAGGCCTTCTGCATAACAGGGAAGCTCATTGGAACATCCATCTCTGCAGACATCCCACCCTCCATAGCACAGCAGAGGTAACAGAAGAGCTGGTGCTTCTATTCCTTGACTTCTCATGTCTCATGGAACTTGCCATTGCATGCTCCAAGCATTTCTATGAGCTAATTATACAGGCATATGTGGGAGAATAACTCATCTGTGAGTTAAAAATCCATAATAATGCTGGAATAGGATTAAATCACAGAATCATAGACTGGTTTGGATTGTAAAAGATCTTAAGATCATCCAGTTCCAACCTCCTGCCATGGGCAGGGATGCCTCACACTAGATCATGTCACCCAAGGCTCTGTCCAACCTAGCCTTGAACAGCACCAGGGATGGAGCATTTACCACTTCTTCAGGCACCCTGTGCCAGTGCCTCAGCGCCCTCACGGTAAAGAACTTCTTCCTTATATCCAACCTAAATCTCCCCTTTTTCAGTTTGAACCCATCACCCCTTGTCCTATCACTCCAGTCCCTGATGACGAGTCCCTCTCCAGCATCCTTGAACGCAGGGTTTTAAGTCCTTTTGGTCTTATTGTGATAACTTTGTGGGTGGACATAATGTCAAACACCATTTCAGTTAAACTGTTACCCTAAGGGCCTTGGGCAGTGCTCCATCTCTGCACAGAAAGCAAGAAACCACACCGGGGTCCAACACAGACCCAAGCCAAGTTCTGCTCTGTGAACTGCTGCCGTTTTCCCCAGCGCAAGCCGGGATTCAACCAGAGATGGCTGGATCAGCTCAGCTGGCTGACCCAAACTAACACGAGTGACCGGACAAGTTTGTCGCTTCTAAACATGTCTCCCTCCTGTGTTTTTCAGGCCCAGTCCGCTTTACGCATCGTGTTTTGGTTAAACCTTCTGCTCCCCTCCGAGGAAGGCCCTGACGGCTCCGCTCCTTGCCTGCGGGGCCCGAGAAGGAGCCTCCCCCGACCCCGCACTGCGGAGCCACCCGGGACGCTCGGCTCTCCGCGGTGAGAGGCACCGGGGCGCGGTGACCGGTCCGTGCGGCATCGCTCCCGGCTTTCAGGGAGCTAAAAGTAACCCTAGTGCTGGCGGGGAGGCGATGGATCCCGGTGCGCACCCACAGCGCGTCTGTCACGGTGCCCGTGGGGAGATAAAGGGATTGGGGGATGAGGGATGGGGAGATGTTGGGAACGGGGGGATAGAGGGATGGGGGCACCTTCCCAGCGCCCCGTTACCGTGAAGTGCCTCCCCCTCCGCCCGGCCCCACCCCGCATTCTCGGCTCTGAACTTTACCCGACTTCTCCATCCCCGCTCCACCACCCCGCACGCCCCGCCTCCTATCCTGCATATTCATGAGGCCGCACCTAGCGCCGCGCCTCATTGGCTGTCTCGCTGTCCCCTCCCGCTCCTATTGGCCGGCCTAGCTGTCGCTCAACGCCTCTGGGCGGGGCAGGCGGCCGCTCCCGGCGGTGACTCACCAGGGCGGGGAGGCCGGTCCCGCAGCGGCGCAGGCGGCAGAGGCACAGCCCAGCGCCGCGCACTCATTGTTCCGCCACCTCCAGGCACCATGGACGAGCTGGACCAGTCTCCTCTGGTCTCCTCCTCCTCCGGGCCAGCGCGGCCGCAGCAGCCCCAGTTTAATTACCAGTTCGTGCTCGACGACGAGAAGGAGGAGGAGGAAGAGGAGGAGGAAGAAGAAGAAGAGGACGAAGACTTCGACGAGCAGCTGGAGGTGATGGAGAGGAAGCCCGCCCCAGCTCCCGCCGCAGCCCTGCAGGACCGGCCGCCGCAGCTGCTGGACCTCGGCGGTCCCGCCGAGCCGCCGCGCCCCTCCGCTCCGGAGCCACCGCAGCCCGACTGGAGCCCCTTGGGAGCCGTGTCCTCCTCCTCCTCGTCCGCCACCACACCGTCCCCCGCGCAGGAGCAGCCCTCGGCCCCCGCCCGGCCCGCTCAGCCACAGCCGCCCAAGCCCGAGCCCGCCGCTGCTGCCGTTCCTCGGAGAAGAGGGTCCTCCTCCGGCTCGGCTGGTGAGTGCCTCCGCGCCGGGGCCGGGGAGGGCGGCGGCCGCTCCTCGCCCGCATCGCCCCGCTTTGGCTGCCGCTGCCCCGACGGGAGGTTCCCTTTGTCTGCCGGCCCGCGGCCGCCTCCTGCGGCATCGCTCCCTCCCCTCCGCCGCGCCGGGGCGCGGCCCCGCTGCAGCTCATGCGGGAGAAAGGGTCCCCCTCCCCTCCGCTATTTTTGTTTTCCTGTAATCTCTCTTCTTTCCCCCTCTTCCCCTCTCTGTTATGCTAAGGGCGGGAGGGGGAAGCGCCGCCCCGCACATGGGCCAGGCAACGGCCGCGGTGAGGGAGGGGGGGATGCGGGGATGAAGGGGCCGCCCGTGTCCCGCCGGTTCTTCTCCCCCCAGTGCCAAACCTGCCTGCCTACGGCGGCTACTGCATTCCGGTCCGCTGGCCCGGCCCGACGCGGCGGGGAGGGGCGGGCAGCCCTGCGGCGGGCAGCCGAGGGGAGGAGGGGATCCGGATACTTTAAATCTTACTCATTTTAACCAAATCGCCTCGCCGGGAGGGGCGCGGGGGAGGAATTGAGCAGCAGCGCTGCCTACCTCGTTCCCGAGCCTGCCTGGCGGGGCAGGGAGCCAGGCGGGAGGTGCGGGGATGGGCGGCTGCGGGGCTGACACAGCCGCTGGCCCGTGTGGGGAGCGCCGCGCTCCGGCCCCAGACAATGAATCCCAAGCCCCGAGAGGGAATGTAAACTAGTGAAGTACGTGTGGAAGCACAAAAGGCGTGCTGGCTGCTGTAGGTGTGGCAGCGCTGGGAGGGGAGCGCCGGCCTCGCGTCCTGCGGATGCCTATGGATGGCCGCAGGTAGCATTGAGGGGCTTCATCCCTTGGTATTGGGGTTCTCCGGCGCTCAGATCCGCTGCAGTGATGGGTGTGCTGCTCCCCGAACATCTGTTAGCGCTGCCGAAGTGCTAAACCCTTTCTTGAAGATCTCGATCCAGGAGCATGACTAATGTGTTGCATGCGGCTTGTGCCTTGGCTCTGCTTTTGCTTAGTTCAAAGTAAGAGAGCTAACGTGAACCCATTAAAACAGTGAAATGAGGCCATTAAAACAGCGAAAATGAACAAATCAAAGTGCCTTACGATCATGATGGTGCATTTTTATTCACGGCTATTGTTATATTGGTAGGATGAATGGGTTTTAAAGTGGGATGATTTCAAGAAGGATTTGATGTCATGGCATGAGTGGGCATAATACTCAAGACTTCATTAAAAAGGGCGTCTGGAAGAATAATAAAAAGGGCCTGTTGTTAAACCTGAACTAGATTTCGTTGGGGAGGGAGTTTCACAATGCATTTTATTTGCATATGTGGCAGGACTTCATGGTTAGTTGTGCTGTTGTCTTTCATGAAGCCTACTTTTTTTGTTCTTCTGGTAGCTGTGTAGCAATATGCGGAGGAGACTGTTTCTGTTTCCACCATTTGGAGGACAGATGAAGACAAAAGCTTGCAACAGACTTAAGAGGAGGGACCCTGCATGATGGCTGAACAGAATCTTTTGAGTGGAGCTCTGGAAGGTTTGAACAGAACAGAATGCAAGGAGTAGGATCAACCAAATCTTGATGTTGCTTTGAAAAGTAGGGGTATAAGTGTGATTTCTAGAGCTGATTTGGCTTTCTACTCTGTGACCCCTGAAGGATAAGGCAAAGAGCAGAGTAATTGCTGAAATATTTCTTTTTTATTAGAGGAGACCTAGCTGTGAGGATTGGGTAGTGTAGCTGAGCAGAGGTGCCAAAAAGTTACTTTCATTTATCAGTGATGAGTAATTTAGAGCTCTGAAGTGAGGCCTGGCGTCAGTGGGAGGCCTGGTTTCCAAAGACAAGTTGTATGATGAGCATAATGCTCATCTAATGATGGGTTGAAGTATTAGACGCTGTCTAAAATACTTGCTGAGAACAACTTTTTTGGACAAAAGCTTTGTCTAGTGGTGTCATGAGTACTTTGGTCCTCTCGCATGCAGGGGTACTTAGTTTTGAGCATGCTAAGTATCCATTCAAATGCTGTGTATTTTTTAGTTTTGCCTCTAGCAGCTATCTCAGTCAACACAGTGTAACATACAACAGTCTTGCAATACCTAAAGGGGCTACAAGAAAGCTGGAAAGGGGCTTTGGACAAGGGCCTGTAGAGACAGGCCGAGGGGAATGGCTTGAACCTGCCAGAGGGGAGATAGAGATGAGCTCTTAGGCAGAAGCTCTTCCCTGTGAGGGTGCTGAGGCGCTGGCACAGGGTGCCCAGAGAAGCTGTGGCTGCCCCATCCCTGGCAGTGCTCAAGGCCAGGTTGGACACAGGGGCTTGGAGCAAGCTGCTCCAGTGGAAGGGGTCCCTGCCTGTGGCAGAGGTTGGAAGTGAAGGAGCTTTAAGGTCCCTTCCACCCCAGACTAGTGTGGGATTCTGTGATTCTGGAGAGCACTCAGTCTGGAAGCCTGGCTCTTTGATTCAGTGAGGATTTGAGGCAAGTAACTTTGAACTTCAATTTCCCAGAGAATAAGCAAGTCATACTGCCTGTAGCAAGCATGCAAAGAATAGCAGGGATTCTTTCATCTGCCCCAGTAGGTCGTGGTGCTGCTTTTTGTCACTGCAACAATAGAAAAAAAAATGTATGGACTACTTGATGGCCCATTAAAATGTATTATTTATACATCTGGATGTGTATTAAAAGTAAATCTTTGCAATTACTATTAGGTTACAGACTTGGGAGTATTCAGTATCATTGTTGTAAGAGACTGTGACATAATTCTGTGTAATGCAAGCCTCTGGCTGTGCATCAGCAGCTATCTTCTGAAGAGCTAATCATATACTTGCTGAAGAAGAAAACAAGCAAGAGGGCTGCAGTGAAACTTAGGCTCTCCTTGATACTTTCTGGGGTTTTTGCTACTCCTTGTTCTGTGTGTAGCAGAAAACAAGTAATCTCAAGAGGAATACTTAAATCTTTTGATTACCTAAATTTACAAAAGTAAATATGAGGTAGTCATACATACATGGTTAAAGTATTAACATTTTGGGTTTTTTCCTTGTCCAAAGTAAGATTAACCAGTAAATAACAATCTGAATATAGCACTTTCTGTCTTTAAAGCTTTAGATCCTGCAGCACCAGTTCCTGCTTTTAAAGGGAGGTCACACATCACTCTTCTGGAACAGACTGTGGTGTTTTGAAATTCAGCTGCACTTAGAAGAAGCCCCTATACTAAACCCACCAGATCAGCATCCAAAAGTGAATAAACATTTCCCTCCTTGTCAGCTGCCTGCAGCTCTGCCACGGTTCAGTAAAAGGCAAATGTTGTGGAGGGCCAGTTAGTAATTAGTCTTGTTTTTCCATTTAGTTTTATAGGGCTTGTTTGTAATTCCTCAGTGCTGAGGAGAGGTTTCGTGAGCAGTTTGCTTCTGTGCCAGACAGTGTCAAGCAGAGGTCAGCAGGGATGAGGATGCCGCAGGCTGTACCAGGAGCACACACACTGTTCTCTGTTGGAGTTCACCCTCACCGAGCTGACCCCAGCGGTGGTAGGTGGGGATTAGATGGAGGGATCTGTACCTGCTTCTGCCCACTCTATAGTGGGGTATTCAAGTCCTGTCATTTGTATTTTATACAAATTCTAAAGCAGCATATCCAATCCCCAGCTTTTTACTGCGTTGCTGAGTTTTCTGGTGAGCTGCTATGTATGCACAGACACAAACACAGCAGTTGTGTGGATTTTAAGGACAGAATGCAGCATGACTTGGGAAAAATACGGCTGTCCTTGGAAACTACCATTAGTGACTTCCATTTGCACCCTTTATTATGTTCTCACTGATCTTCAGTGTTTCTTTGAGGTGCAAGATCCTTTCTCTTGCCAAATGCAGACAGGGAAGCTGCAAGCGAGGTGGTTACAAGCTAGGTATAGCAAAGGTAGGATGGGATATTTTGCCTATTACACATTTTCCATTCTAGTGGCTTATGAGGAGGAGAGTAACCAGCAATTTGACTGGTTAGTAAAGCTGCTATTTTCATTCTGTATTTCATGTTCCCACCTAGGTGAGTTCAACAAGGGTATCACTATTTATTTGGTTTTCTTTGTTGTCATGTACAGTGTCTGGCACAGTGGGGCCTGCTTCTGTAATTGAGCTGATGAGGGTTTCTAAAGCCAAATAGCTATTTCCTCTCTTAACCAGAGGTATGTGCAAAGATACTGCCAAGTCTGGTAGTATATTTGCTTTGTGTGTGTATCCTCCAAGTTGTTCTCCAGGAGAAAACCACACAGCTTCCACCTACCATATAATGATGTAGCCCTC